TCATACGACAAGATCCAAGATGCCCATCTGCTTCCAAAGCCCTTAGCTTCAAGAATGACATGCCATTCACACTGCAACTGCTGCTGCTGTTGATGAACCCTAACTGGGTCACCAGAGTCTGAGCAAGCTTTGAGAGCTCTACGAAAAGACTTCAATCTTCTGACCTGTTTGAAACCCTGTCTAGATTTGGTCGAAAAGACTTCAACATCAGGGTTAAAGGCACCAGTAGGGTCCTCACGCACAGACCCGTTCCGTGAAGGCTTGATAGTGGTGGCAGATTTGCAGCGACCCTTGAATTTCGGATGGAGGGACGGCCATGGGTGCACAACAGGATTAAGCTTGTGTGAAACGGCAATAGCCTTATCAACTGCAAGCTCAACAGCATCAGACCATGCAACTAAAGCTTCCTCAGTGTGACTATCGTCGTTGATACAATCAACATCTACAAAACTTGAAACCGGCCTGTGATTGTAAAACTGCTCAATGATTTCCTTGGGAGGTGCAATGGCCGCCCATGAACAAGGAATAGGCCAGTTGACGATCGGAACAACCTCCCTGTCAAAGTCAAAGTAAGCTGCCAAAGGAACATGAACATCAAAGCGCAAGTCAGATTCAACTTTCATGCCAGAGATAAAGGGAACCAACCAAGGGTGAAAAATGACAGTGTCATTCCGAGTTGAACCCAAGCAAGTGGCGGGTGTAGACAGCTTTCGTACCACTCATTTGCAACACCTTGGTCAAATCATCTTTCGAGATACGGGCATGGAACTGCAAAGATGTGGCCTCCTCAGCAGGAACCTTCGTCTTCAATCTCTGAAAGACCCTGCCCCATGGAGGTGCCAGGAGGGTCAGTTCACCACCACACAAACCAAGCACAGTTTTAACCGGGGATTTGACGATTTCATCCCACTTCTCCAAAGGAATCTCATCCTTGCAAACGGTGAAAGACACCACAGCCGAATCAGGTGTCAAGATGTTGGTGTCAACTTTTGTAGTGGTGACCTTTTTATGCCCCAGGTTATGCAAACACCCTGCCAAGACAAGTGGTTCACCCTGAGGACAGAAGGCCGGAAATTGGATTCGTTTTCCATCAGAATGAAGAGGACACTCACATCTCCCCAAGGCAACAACTGCAAGTTCATCTTCTGACAGCGCCGAGCTGTGGGCAAGCCAAGGAGCGGATCGGTAAGCTTCAAGCAAACGCACCCCTGAAGACTGGGGCACAACATCAAGTCTCTGTGGGCATGACGAACCATCTTCGTTCAGGAAAAAACCATCTTTGACCGTAATGCTGGCAAGATCAAGAGAAGCAACAAGATCCTGAGCAGGGAGTTTGACTCTGTCACGAATCTTATCCCTCCCTTCCTGTGCCACCACCGAAGTGCTGGGAATGTTGAGCATTTTGGCCAATCTGGAGATCGCTTCAAGCTTTTCTTTGGGAGACTTCGGTTTCAGAATTGCTTCAACAGTAGCCGGACTGGATCCTTTGCAAATTTTGTCCACAAAGGGACCAACGTCTTTCAAATCACCACCTTGTGTCAACTAGACGACGGTTGGCCCGAGAGCGAAAAAGATGTTTTTCAAGCAGCTCTGAGGATGATAGTGGTAAAAGATAGTCGGTGAATAGTTGGTGAATTTTATATGAGCTATGGAAAGATATGGTGTGAAAAAGTAAGATTGATCAAGAAGAGAATATTTGGTAAAGGGCATCAGATGACATGTGTCTTGCAACCACAGAGAGAAAGAGGGGGCAGAGATAAAGACAGAGAGAGAGAGAAAGAGAAAGCAAGAGAGAGAGAGAGAATGAAAGGGGGAGGTAGAAAGAAAACATGGAGAAATGTAATGTGAGCAACAAAAGTGCACAGGAGGCTCGGTACCATGAGTCTGCGAATGACATGTGCTATCTCATTTTATTATGGTAATTCCCACACACATTGCGGAAAAAGGCTCGGCACCATCATTCCGTGAACGCGAAGAAACGCGAAGCTTTTATACAGAGACGCTTTTACACACAGAATCTTTTACACATAAACACTTTTACACACAGACGCTTTCACACAGAGACGTTTTTCATGCACACACACACAGACGCATTTCCACACAGAGACTTTTACACGAAAACACTTTAACACACGGACGCTTTTATACACAGACACTTTTACACACATACGCTTTTACATGCAGATGCCTTTTTACAGACGCACACACACTTTCACACACAAACGCTTTTACACACAGACGCTTTTGCACACAGACACAGACGCTTTTCCACACAGACCCTTTTACACACATACGCTTTTACACACGAACACTTTTACACACATACGCTTTTACACACGGACGCTTTTACACGCAAACACTTTTACATACAGACGCTTTTACACACAGACGCTTTTACACTCAGACACTTTTACACACAGACGCTTTTCCACACAAACCCTTTTACACACAGACGCTTTTACACACAAACACTTTTACACACAGACGCTTCCACAGAGACTTTTACACAGAGACGCTCACAAAGCGCGGCGCCACTGGGTGACCTCAGTTGCAAACAAAGGTGCGCAAACATAGTTGCAATGGAAATGCTAAAAAATCGTTAAAGTGCACAAGACCAGGCTCAGTACCATGATCAACGCACAATCCAATGCAAGGCATCCGCTCTTTGAGAAACCTCGAGAAGTGCAAGAAATGTTAAAGATACCTGTTTGCCAATCGTCACTTGTTTCACGAACATTAAGCGTACATATAAGAATATGGATGTCCACTCTGTGCACAATGCATCTTGTCTCTACGTTCACGTCTGAGCCCAGGAAAGAGGTAAAGAGGTAAACTATGCTTGTCGCTGCAGAGTTGCACAATCCACTGCAAAGCATTTGTTCTCTGACTTCCAAACTGAGAACACCACTCATGAGTTTGACATGACAAAGAACCACTGTCGCAGAGACCTGCAAACTGAAGGCTGAACGCATCAACAAAAAACTAGTTTAACAAAGCTCGGTAACAAAAAACTCAGCAGCTCGGCAACACCATCTTACATCATCTCGCAATGCCTTGTTTCATCTTGCATCATCCTGGACTTCCAAACTGAGAACACAATTCGTGAGTTTGACACTTGGGATGGGCATCATTGTCGAACACCATGATGCTGTAAATTACATGCATCACACCGTTCTCGAAGGAAACATCCACAAAGGTACAACGAACCCAACAGCTTGGTAACTTCTACAACTTCATGCACTAACCTGCTACACACTCGCACAATTCAATGCAAAGAATGTGTTCTTCGAAGCCTGAGACCACGACTCCTGCGTTTGACAAGCAAACATCATTGTCGCATAGACATGCAAACTGAACAGTGAAGTTCACTATGAACATCTCAATTCCCACACAGATTATCACACCAAACGAACCAAGCTCCGCACGTCCTAGCACGGATACACTGGCAAGCATTTTCACCCTCAATCTCTAACAGTTCCATGTCGTGCGGTAAAAGTACACACAAAATCTTTTACACACAAACGCTTTTACACATGGTGCTTTTACACAAACACACTTTGACACACAGACGCTTTGACACACAAAAGCCTTTACACACAAACGCTTTTACACACAGACGCTTTTACACACAGACGCTGCTTTTACACACAAACAGCTTTTACACACAGACGGTTTTACACACAGACGCTTCTACACGCAGACGCTTTTACACGCAGATGCGTTTTACACACGCACACACGCTTTCACACACAAACGCTTTTACACACAGACGCGTTGACACACAAACGCTTTTACACACAGAAGCTTTTACGCGCAGATGCGTTTTACACACGCACACGCGCTTTCACACACAAACGCTTTTACACACAGACGCGTTCACACACAAACGCTTTTACACACAGACGCGTTTACACACAGACGCTTTTACACACAGACGCTTTTACACGCAGATGCTTTTTACACACGCAGAGACGCTTTCACACACAAACGCTTTTACACACAGACGCCTTTACACACAGACACTTTTACACAAACGAAAGCGTCCATCGCAATTTTTCCTCAGTTTTTGACGTCCAAGGTCCATTTCGTGCAAAAGAGTTACGATTAACTAAGTAAAATCGCAATTTTTCCTCAGTTTTTGACGTCCAACGTCCATTTCGTGCGAAAAGGTTACGATTGACCAAGTAAAGTCGCAATTTTTCCTCAATTTTTGACGTCCAACGAAGGAAAGTTCACTGGAAACGGTGCTGTGTTCACCCTGTCCAGGGTTTGAAACACCATTTAGGCGAACTTCTGATCATAATAAAAAGGCTCGTTTCAACGCGAAAGCTTGAAGCAATTATATTTTTGCTTCGATGTATAAATGTCTCCAAGTTTAAGGAAGATGTATAAATAAATAATTTCAATGTTTTTTTGCATTGGCTTGCATATAGAAATGTTTGGGCAGGCTCGGCTCTGCTCGCATCTACTGCCGCTCATTAGCCACCACGGTCATGATCATGGCAGGTTTGGATTGTGCTATGACAAGCGATTGCTGAAGCAATGTCTAAATAGGTTGACGAACAAGAAGTGATGCAAGAACCACTGCAATCAAGGTTTTTTTTCTCCAACATTTTGTAGAAGTAGAATCGGGAGCTGGGTTGGCTCCGAAATCCAGATAGGAGGCCTTGCATTTGAAAAGCCTAGCGACGTTTTCCCAATGACGATAGACTGGAATGTTTTTGGTTCCACATGCATCACCTTTAAGCCAGGAAGTGGAAGCCGCGATTTGATCCACACATCAAAGACAATCTTTCCGGAAATCTACTTGCTCACACTTGCAAATCTTTTGAAATCATCCAAGAAAATAAGGAGGAGCTTTGAGCGTCTATTGTATGGGAATCATGAATCATAAGGGACCGTTCACATGCACAGCTGGCGGCTCAGGCAGCACTCCGCACTTTTGCCTGTTTGTTCGCTGGTCGAAGCGATCATGACAATGAGTAATGGACCAATCTTCACTATTGAGCAGCTGGGGAGTTGTCCTTGGCAAAGTGTTCCGTGGCGAGCTGGAAGCGTACCGTGACACGCTCATCTGACGCAATGCAGTACACATCTAACTCAGCAAACCAGGCCCCGGGTGTGCTGCAGCTTAGCTCATAGTCTTGGACCACGTATAGCACCTGCCCGAAAGCAACAACTTGATGGCCACTCACATCAAGCATTTCGCAAGCACCCAGCCACATCAGGAGACGTTCAATTTTTGGATCAATGCACTCTGCAAGGAGTTCCCACTCCGTGGCTCCATCAGAGTAGACAATTTGGTAGACATAATCGTCGATGTTAGGAATGCCGTCCTCCCACGCAACGCCTGGACAGTGACCGAATCTGTGAGTATAATATTGAATGCCATTTAATACTTGTTTCTGTATTGTCAGTCTAGGAGCCCAATCGACTTTCATAGGTGGCCGCCATGGGAACCAGCGAACGGATTTATATTACTAGTGACCTGGGCCTAGAGAGCTGCATGTCAAAGATTTAGGCGATCAAACAAGGCTTGTTGGACATGGAGGAGCCAGAATGCGTCCTGCCCTTGAAGGAGCCATGAGGCATCCTGCAATGATATGACACCCCACCACATGAAAGGAGCTCAAAGCTGCCTACTGTGTCAGGAGCTAAGAAGCATCCTTCCAACACTGGCGACATACGTTTTTTTACCCAAGAGCGGATGGATTTCTCAGACGCGAGAGGCAGCAGCTCTGGTGGCGCGCCTAAGTTCCAAGCAGGCAAGCCGGCTCAAAATTCTGGGCAAACAAAGCCCCCAGTTTTGCTCACAAAACCAATCACCGCCGCCACAACAGAAAGCCAAACCTTGCCGCCAGAAGAAAGCATCAAGGCTCATCCCTGTGCTGTCGTGAGTTGCAGTCCTTGGCCAGGAGGAAGCACTATGGAATTTCTCAACCACAAGGATGGCTTGATTCCAGTGAGGCCTTGTGCTGCCCATCGGCTGGAAAAAACCACCCGCAGCTTCGTCATATCCCACTTGTCAACAGGAATCAATGCCGCCAAGGTCAGTGAGTTTTGCTTTTTCGAATCACCTTCAACAGACGCTCGCTCAGCTCTCCACGCCACTTCTCGGACCACCTTCACATCGAAATCGGCCGCACCATATCGCCCTTGGGGGTTTTCTACCAATTGGTGGTACCGAAGGACGGCTTTCTCTGGCTTCTGCTGCTTCATGTCATCAATCACCTGGAAGATCGTCTTCAGGTTGCCTTCCATGAGCACCACTTCCGAGCTGTCAGAAAAGCGCCACACCAGATCCACTGCCGAATCAAACTCATCTGTCACTTCCTTCGGCTGCCACCTTTTGCCTTTTTGCCATCCTGTGATGTGGCCAGTCACAGCAATGTCTGCAGCAGTCGTGTTGATGAGGTAGACAATGTTTTCAGGATAAACCTGGAATGTCAAACCCTTCAGCTTGTTGCATCCTGGCGCTTGCAACAGCATCTTGGTCACATCCAGCTTGTCAATGGGCACTAGCGTTGAAAACGCCGCAGATGGGTCAGTCAGCCCTTCCGGCTCAGATCGGCGCATTCTTTTCGAGCCTGGCTCTCCGAGACTTTTCTGCGGGAGGACTTGCTCTACCTCCTCAATCAGTGCTGCCCACTCATCTTTGAAAGAGCTCGAAGACCACTTGCCATGTAGGGTCTGTGGCAGTTTCAAGTTCACGCCATCCACCGTTCCAAGGTTCAACTTGGGCAGAGACACTTGCAGTTGTTCATCAGCAGCCATGGTCTCAGGCAAGGGCTCCATACCATTGATCTTCAAAGTTCTCCCAAGGAAGCGTTCCATGGCAATGTCATGGAGATCCGTCTTTGCCCATTCAAGTTGCGAATCTGGTCCCAGAGCGATGTAGTGCATCTTGACAGATGCTGTCGGCATCTTCAACACAGCGCGGGCAAGGTCGCCAGTCTTGGGGCTGAGATCTACAATGGCAACGCACGGCCCCAACCCGGACGGAAGCGTTGCAAAAGTGGAGCTCAGAAGAATTTCCGCAGCCACATCTCCAATCTGAGCATATTTCTCAGCAGGATTCAAACGCTGTTCCACATCTGAAGTTGGGAGATCATCTTCATACTCTGGCATTCTCATATCCCGGACTTGCAACATTGTTGCTCTGGCATTTGTTCTGTTGTTCAGAAAGAGCGCGGACTTTTGCCAAGCAGACTGTGGCTCATTTTTTGCTTTCATGGGGAAAGCCAACCGCAGAGGATACTCCAGAGGCCGACGATCGCGAGGATCCGCTCTGTCCTGCGATAAATATGTTTAAACAAAAACTTTCTTTGAATTAGCAGCAGTTACCCAAAAATGACAGACAAACGAAATCGTCCTCAAAACTCAAGGATGCTTTGTCATCGGTGTTGACATCTCTTTCACTCAAATTCTTGAGGAGCAAGCTCTCGCTCTTGTGCATGGAGCCCTTGGAGCGTTCCCAGACCGGCATCAGAATCAGACCCATGGCATCAAAATCATCATGGCTCAGACAGGAATGCAGGGCTTGGATCTGCAGCGCCATCTGCTCCTCCCACACGATGGATGGTGATGCCCAGTTCACTACTACCAATACCAGGAGTGGCTGCTGCAAACGGTATTCGCGTTTCAGCATGCACAAGTTGGCAAGCATCGTCTCTACAGAAGTCACGAAGCTGAACATAGCACACGGCCCTGCAAACAGCGTCGCAGTGGATTCCTTGCCATGCAGCCGACGCTTTCTCTGGTGATCCATCTTGGCATGGTAGATCAAGCTCTCATGTGATTCCTGCTTGGATCTGAAAATGAGCACAGCTTGGATGTCACTTTTCAACTTCTGAGACACCAGCTCAAATTCCGCCTTCTCAAACTTGGCAGCTTCAATCTCGGTCCGGGCATGGCCCACCACCGCCAGGTCAGTGCAGGTGGTAGCTTCTTTCTGCAATTCGCGCAAGCATTTCCTGTGATTTGGTTTGATGCTGGTGCCTCTATCAAAGATCAAACTTAACAATATCTTCAAGGTGAAAAAAGGGGACAATCATAACATTTTGGCGGACAGGGAACACATCGGACCATTGGATGTCATGCTTTCTTTCGTGCAAGAGGCTCTGGACATCCAGCGTCATAGCTACATCGCCGTTCCTGAATTTGTCTGACAGCGAGGCCAGCTTCTCTTTGTCAACTGCATTTTCCATGGCGCCTTGGGTGGCCCAGCACCAAAATGAGCACATCTGGGCGTGCTCCTCGAGGCGGCATTTGTCCAGTGGCCTTCTGCTTCTGGAGCTCTTCGAAAGCTGCTGCATGTTCAATGACTCCACAAAAACAGAGAAGCTTATCTCTGTCACTGCAAGAATCTGGTTCCACTGGCGCAAATTGGTGCGCGGTGCCCAGCCGGGGAGAAGTTTTTTGTTGCAAAACGAGTCCTCGTGCCACCACACAGCCTTGTTACCTAACTGGCTCAAGAGCTTCACCATGCTGTCCACACCGTTTTTGCATGAGCCTTGTAGTAGATTCAGTGCAGAGACTCGTCTTTGGCCGGTGACCTTTCCTTTGGCCGACGCATTGCTGTTGAAAGCTTCAAGAATCTGAGTCGGCGTTTTTCCTGCACCTGCCTGGTCCAGCAGCATCAATTTTGTCACCCAGGTGAGGACGTCGTGCGGCGCCCTGATGGCACCCCTGTTGGAGGCATGTGCATTCGCTATGGCGACCGACATCAAGTCTGGGTGGGATTCAAATAAGCCGTGAATCACCTGTACTGTCTGGTAGAGGTGCGGAAAGTGGGCCATGACATCAATCTTCAAGTCTGCCATACGAGCCAAAAGCCACAGCAGGGTTGAGCAGCGCGCCATGCCCTTGACATAGCGGATCTCAAAATCTGCTTGCGACAACTCTCTGTCGTCTGGGCTGCTCCAGAGAAGCAAGGGCTCAGCCTCAGTCAGGAAGCCATGCACAAGGTATTCATCCAGAAGATCTTTGCACGTACAGCGGTATGGAAAGCCTTTGGTGGATCTTTCCGGCTGGAAGGAGAGCATGGCGACATGCACATGGCATCTCTGCTTACTTTTGCCTAAGACCGCAGGCTGCACATAGTCAATGGAAGCCATCATGGGAAACTCTTGTTCCAATCCAGCTCGGAATAATTTCCGATCTTCTTCTTTGGGGAAGCGGTGCAGCAGCCACTGCGCGGGCCCTCCACATTCATCACAGGCGGTGTCAAACGCTTCCAGCAAGTGTTGCTTCAAAACAGCTCGGTCCGTGACATCCGACAAGTTGTCGGGTACCTTGACAGGCTCGGCAAGCATCTCCTGCGCTTCCTCTGGTGTGTCAAACACAGGACTCTCTGACTTTGCCATCATCTCCTGGTCTTCTTCCTTTGCTTTGATGCGTTCATCTTCTTCAATTTTCGCCATAGCTCCTCTGAATAGAGACTTGGCAGAGTGAGAGAGGGATGGCGGGTGCACAGATGCTGATGTGCCAAGTGGCTGAACAGAAGGCAGGAATTGCAGATGATACCTTTTAAGGAGCAAACATGCGTCCTGCAATACATGGACCTGGAGGCGCGATGAAAGCAGCCTGCACAATCAAAGGAGCAATGAACTGCATCCTGCCAAAAAAAAAAAGGAGCTGAAAAGCATCCTGCAAGTAGGAAGAGCTTCAGTTCCCATGAAAACACATCCGAATGTTTCAAAATAGATGATTTCCGATTGATTGCCTGAGCCGCTGCTTTTTTTCGGAGCACTCAAAGGCAGTAGTCTTTCCAGTTCTATATAGGCACATAGCCCGGGCCTTCACTCGGGCTTGCGCACCTTGTAGCATTTCAGCCGCCAGCCCCCCTTCCTCAGTGACCGACAATGACACGGGCAGGCAGTGGCTATGAACTGGAGAAGTTGAAGAGTGACAGATCAACCTTGTTTTTTGCGTCCAATTTAAGCGGCTGTCATCGCGCCACCCGTGCCACCAGAAGGCGGCGGCCCAGGTCCAGGCCCCTTACTTCTGTCATCGCCAGGATCATCTGGCTTTGGAGGGAAGTCTTCAGGGTGGCGCTCTCGCCAGTACTCATTGCGGGCTCGCTTGGCACCCCTTGTCCCACGACGGCGTCGGCGGGAGCGATGGCGGCCTCACTTGTTCTGCTATTCCGGCGCATGCAATTTTATTCAAACCTGGGTTACTACCCTTCCAAACAAGTCAAAAAAAGCATGCCCACTGCAGCAAGTCACTTCTGGAACGCTTCTTATGTCCTGGCTCCTTTCGTCGTCGACGAGGATCTTCCAGGGGACCAGCAGCAGCAGACGATTCCATAGACGAGGCTGATCCTGGAGGCGGTGCCTTGGGTCTGGACGCGGGGGCAGCAGCCTTCGACCACGCAGCAGGGGCAGTGGAATACCTATTCACACTTGTAACTCGCCCAGGTGCTGGAGGGGGTGGTGGACCTGCATCATCATCATCATCCTCATCCTCATGGTCATCGTTCGATGAATCAGACGTCTCAGCTGTCGCTGGGCCCGTAGGTCGGCTGCTAGCCGGCTTTCCTTCGGCAGCTCGACGTCGTTCAGACTCAGCATCAAAAGCTGCAGCAGCACCAGGATCTGACCTAAGGGGAAGTCTTTTTGCTCCTGGCAATGTTGGCTCAGGCTCCACTAGGACTTCTTCCATCTCGTCGTCGCCAGCAGCAGCGGGAGCAGCAGCGGGAGCAGCAGGCGGCCTACGTGGCGGCGTGCGTGGCCGCAGGTGTCCATGAGGGCTCGAAGCCACAGTCACACTCTCAGTGGAGGCAGTATCCCCTGGGGTTGAAACGCCGTGGGCAGCCACATGGCTAGGCGGGGAAACCATGGGTGGCGGAACGTGATGATGAGGTGGGTGACATTGGGATGGCATCGGAGCTGGAGCATGGCCATGAGGTGGATGTCCAGAAGGGCAAGGCATAGGTGGCGGGGCATGACCATGGTGAGGCATTGCCATTGCCACCGCCCCCACCCTCTGCAGGCGCAACATGGACCTGCTGCATGGTCATGGTCAAGCCACCGGCTGATGGTGGCGGCATGAGCATGCCTGGCCCAGGCATCCCTGGCCCTGGGAGCATCGGCCGCATAGGAGGGCGGCAGCCTCCTGCCCCACAGCCAGCATGGCCTTGCGCAGCTGCGAGCATCTGCATCATGAGCTGCTGGTTCATCTGATGCTGGGCTTCGCGCTGTTCATCATCTTCCAGCACTTCCACAAGGCTTCGCGCCAAGTAACCAAGCGCTCTGCGCGACGACATGTCTCCCCACACGCCGCGGCTTATTGTACGTTGCCTTTTGAAAAATGATGTCGTTGTCATGTTTTCTGCTCGTTTTCTGTCACTCCATGACATGTGGTTTCTGCTCGTTTTCTGTCAGTCCATGACATGTGTCCAGAAGCTTGTGAGCCACTGTCTGCAGGGAGAAGACCATATTTTGCGCAGAGAAGTGTACCTTTAATTGAATATCAGGGGTCCACATGTTTTTTTGTGTGTGTCAAACCATTAAATGATTTCATTTCGCAAGCTATATTTTTAGGAGAATGCAGCGAAAGCTTCTACAAAATTTTCGTACTAGACTTCACAGCAGTTCGCCAGAAACGCTGCGATGTCAATTTTGTTGCACCATTTTGCAGAGATGTCATGTACATATTTTGCATCATGCACTTCGCTGCAATTTGTAGTTTTTAATTTGACATCACAGCAGTTCGCCAGAAACGCTGCGATCTCTGGTGCGTGGCGGAGGTGTTTGACTTCGCAGCAATTATGATGTTTTTGTTTGTCATTCATTTTTTGTTATCTAGATTTGAAAATGTCAATTGTTCTTATCTTTTGCTTGGTAGATGTATCGGTGGGAATACATGTGTGTGCGATTTGGTAAGGTGCGTAGCGCAGCCTGCGCAAGATGTCACGGAGCTGGTCAGCATCCTGCCGAACATGAAGGAGCCACAGGCATCCTGCAAAGGCGCGCTGGTTGCATCCTGCACTACCCAGGAGCAATCTTGCTTCCTGCAATAATTTTGACTGCTACTCATGTCAGCATGGCAATCATGTGATCAATATGTGATCATAGCACAAAGTTGAGAAAGAGACGTCAATGCTTGCTGTGACAGTTTCTGATGCCCTTTTTTTGGCCTGCGCAACTGTGTCTCTTAGTCCAGCATTTCGACACTGATTTCTGCTCGGATGGCAGACAGCATCGCATTAACCATCTCCTGCGGGTAAGATTCGCAGTGAGATGAGAGCTGCACCCCGGCCTCAGAACCTTGTATTTGCCGATGATCGGTGGAGCATGTGCAGAAAGCATTTCCAAAAACCCGGTCAATGTCTGGCAAGTTGTGCACGAAGCGAGTACGTTTCCTGATAGGCTCACCTGTGCCAGGGCATACTAGTCCGAACCTGCATTGGTCGAATCGGCTGACAAGGACCCCATCTTGTCCGCAGAGGCGTCGAAGAGCACCTGTCTCCCAACTGCTGGCTCCATCTGGGTGCTCAAACAGGAAGTGGAGATTTTGCCGTCGCTGATATTCAGCAATTTCAACAGCGAAATAGAGCAGGCGATCAGCTTCCTCTCGGCGTCTTTGATATTTGTCTTCTCCCATCGCTCTGCGGCACCACAAGTGCATCAATGCTGAATACAGGGTACAGGGAGGAGAGAGTATGAAGACACGGGGCTGGTAGAGTCTGATATGAGACCATACAGATGCACGGCCGTTCACACCGCCCAAATCCAACTCTTCATCGTCTTTCATATCAAAGGACTCTCCTCCAACTAAACTAAAATATTGGCACCGTGGAACCAGTCTGGGTCTGCTGAAGAGCTCCGAGACATCAACCACGTCATGGGAATTGATTTCAATTGTTGCATTCACACGCTCGACTGAGACGTTGTCACTCATGGCTCCTGACTGTGCAAGATGTAAAGGATGCAAACCCTAGCAACATTGAGCCACAAGCCATCGCCGACAGAAGGCACTGATGTGGCACCCAAGTGACTGCCATGCGAAAGGCTGGCTTTATGCGGATTCAAGTCCCATCTTCCCAACCATGCACAGGAATTGTTTTTGTCTTTCGACTTTCGACTTGTTTGTGTGACACAATCATCTATAAGGCTTTGCAGCACAACCCCAAAATCACCCACAACGTCCTTTGAACACATAATCTATCTAAGCTCCGATCTCAAATGTCAAACCTGTTTCAGATTAGTATATATAATGAAGGCATTCTCGACAAGTTATTTCTGCATGATGCACAAATAGTTTCAAAGGACATTGTGTCATGGTTCCCGTATTTATGCTGCCGGGGCCAATTAGAGTTGACAGGAAAGTGCTAACTACTGTCCGCTGCCACCAGGATGAATTGATGAAAAAAACCACATTGACGACATCCAGAGTGAATCTCCACTGTCACGTGGCAGCGAATCGCTCAGTCAGTAAGCTGACATTTCTACTCAATAGCAGATGATGCCGGTCCATCATCAGACTTCAAAATCCACACGCCCTTCTTCTCACTTTCGATCAGACCAGCTTTCGGCCGGCAAGTAGTGCATCCCACTTCGCACCTGTTACACTTGGAACACCCCAGTTTGATGCCCGGCGGGACGCTGATGCGACGGCGCTTTGTGGCAGGCTCGCCCGGTTGTGCTGCTGCTGCTGCTGCTGATTCAGCAGGCGCAGGCGCTGCCGCTGCCTCAGCGCTGGGATGCGCAGCATGGGCTGCCTCGCCACTGCTTGCAGCCGCCGGAACAGATTCACCACGGCCACGCCCACGGCCTTGGCCACGACCTCGTCCACGGGTTGCCTTGGGAGCTGCTGCTGCCTTGACCTTGGCCTCAGGCTCCACTGCCGGCTGCGGAGCTGCTGGATGTTGGCCGGGCGGAGCCCCTTTCTCAATGGCATGGTGCCCAGGCGGTGCTCCCTGCACGTTGGCTTCTGGCTTTGCGTTCTTTTTGGCTGGCTTGGCATCCTTCACAACAGTGATGTCCAAAGGTGATGTGAAGGCAAAGCCCAGATCCAGCTGATCAGCCAATCCTTCCACACAAACCTTTCCTTCGTCCGTGTCAATCTGGAAGACCCACTTCACAGGAGGCAAAGCCCAAGAAGGCGAGGATCCCTGCTGGTTGTTGCGAACCTAAGTAACATGGAAAGGTTGAATTCTTTACAGAGGGTGACCAACAGCTGTGTTGACTGCAGTCTACACTACAACATATAAAGACCACATTCCATATCTAAAACATGTTGTCATTCATGGCCACATGCACCCTTCAGGAGCTGATGAGCATCCTGCAATCCACCCTGAGGAGCTGATGAGCATCCTGCAACCACATGATCAGGAGCTGGCAAGAGCATCCTGCAATAGGAGCATATGTTGCTCCTGCGACTGATAGACCCTATAAAATGCTGGAACATGCGGAAAGCATGAATGAATACAGGCGCATATGTTTTAAGGCGCAAATGTGCATCCTGCAAACCGTTGAAAAAAGCAGACATAGAGTTTCATCAGATCACAGCAGTAAGATATAATGTTACAACCAAGGCGCCAAATTTTGCAGGTAGAGAGCAGAATCTTTGTATTTCCAAGACTCCATGAGGGAAGCAGTTTTCAAGAATTCTTTCGCTTGGCGCTCACTGAAGCAGTGTCGAGGGATGGGTTCTGGCATTGGTTTGGGAGATAGCTTCGAAACCAGTTCCCAAGGCATGTAGAGCATCGGTTTCTGGCTCAGCTGAGACGAAGCCATATATTGCTTCGAGAACAGGATCACGTCTCTGGGATGGGCCTCCAGGTGCGAAAGGAAAGGAGCAGTAACGACCAAAGATCGCCACTTTTCCGGCAAGCACTCCCTCCGGACCAACTTGTACGAGTGACATGCCTCCAAATTTTGCTTCGTGGCCTCCTTTGTCTGATTGAATCCAGTGATCCGGGTCCCAACAGGAAACAACCAAGCCTGAAAGTCCATGGCTGCTTGCAGGAGCTCCACATGGTAATCCATCAAATTGAATTCGATCCTTTCCTTGAAGGCTTGCGGATCCTGGAGTGTCTGCGCCTTGGACAACACTGTCGCCACATGGCTGAAGCTAGCATCCTGGCGGCTGTGGGTATGACCTACACGGCCTTGACAAAAGACGGCCGAATTCACTCTGCCGCGGGCTGTCAAGATGCCCAAAAGCTTCAGAAAAGTGTTGTTTTTGCTGTCGGACGTGGCGTTGTCACTGACGCAGCGAAAATGCAACGGCATATCCACACCACGATCAGCCAGGCGCTCAGCCACCACCTGACCAAAAGCAGTACAAGCAAAATCTGAAGATTGCTCGACAGGCTTTTGCAATGACAATCACCTTGGGACCACACAAAGAACAACAAAGAGACCCGATTCAGCCTCTAACGCACGGCACGTCACTGTGCACTGAACGTCTGCACCTTTTCCGACATCCATATCTGCCAGAAAAAGCATTTTGCCAACTCCGTCAATGATGATGCCATGAGCTGCCAGTTGAGGGCGCCAGGAATCGGCGAGAACCTTGGCCATGGAGACGTGCCTTGGGCATCGGAACTTCGCCTGATCCATCGAGTCTTGGGTCCAGGACAGCAAAGCTCGCTCCCTATTAGGAATTTTCGGGACACCGCCACAGACCTGCACCGAATCAGCTCCCAATTGCTGCGCCAAGGCATCACAGTTGCGATCCAGCATCACGCTCTTGACATGACCAGAGTGCGCTTCTTGGACTTGCTTCTCCTGTGTTGATGTGGTGACTTGTTTTCTCAACATCTTCAGCCGCTCACATGTGCTGCATTTGCCATGGTGTTGCGAGTCAGCTATGCGCAGCTTGTCCTGCCATGTTGACTTCATGTAGATGCGGCGGAAAGAGCTCAAGTGAACTGGATCTTCGCTCCAGTTCACATACATCTCATAGAATTCCTGGAAGGTTTGATGAGGCAGGAACCGTCGAGATTCCACAGCAAGGGCGGCATCAGCTCCAAGTAATGGTTCCGGAACACCGTCCATCTGCCCCTGACTCTCATCGGAAGCAACGACATGATCGCACAGACCCAAAGGCAAAGGTCGCGGCTGCAGGTCCTGGTTCTCAGTGGGAAAGGCCGACCCTTCTTCTGTTGGAATATGCATTGCCCAGTTGGCCCAAGCATGGTAGCAGAACTTGTGGACATCTTGCTGACCAGCGGTGAGGCTCACAGATCTGGGATGACACTGCATCCCCTTCTTACGGCCATCTGCAGGTGGGCCATCGCAATGCACAGCCTCCTGCAAAGCATGCAAAGTTCCACTGCCCACCAGGTGAGCCTTCTGCCAAATCTTTCTGCAACTCAGGACTGTCGTTGATCAGATAGGTTCCTTTCGGAATTTGCTTGACCACACAAAGCTCCCGAAGACTAAGCCACACCCGGCGCCGGCGCACTTCCGGCTCACAAGCAAGCAGCCCTTCGCGAAGCACCTTGCAGCCGGTCTCGATGTCTGAGTTTGGCGGCACGCATGGACCATCTTTGCAATGGCAATGCCACGACACAACGTGGTCCTGCTCGCCCAAACCTTCAGAAGCGAGCGAAGGCAGGCTGCCATCAGAGCCGACATCAGACTCTGTCGGCAAATCGTCACCCATGGCCACAGACTGGTTCTCTCCCATCGCCAGAGAGCGTGAGCGTGAGCCGAAAGAGCTACATCATGGCAAACAAGGATTTACAACATCGTCAAGAAGAAAGCGAAAAGCAATCTCTGCGGTCCAACCACATCCTCTCAAAATCCTATCACGGCATCAATTGACTTGGAAGAGATTTTGTGTTTGACGATCCAGAAAGACAATGACCTGGTGAAAAAAATGTACAAAACTAATACAAACAAGCATAACTAATTAATATCTGGCTACAAATATCTATCTATCACTCTGCGGCTTGTTGTATTGTCACATCAAGCAGCCAAGCCATCACAAAGCAATTTTGTCAAGCCCGAGGTGAAAGTGCCTCTTTTTTGCCTCGCTCAGGCACAGCATGCTGACAATGCTAGCAGCTTCTTTGGGCTGTGAGCTATAACCGGTGGATACCCCTGCCCAGTCAGTCAGCCGCTCACATTTTCATGGTTCTGTTGACTCGGTCCGGCAATGATCTCTCGTCAGCTTGAACCTGACTACCATCTGCTCTTGCTCCCAAATGCCCCAAACTTGAAGCTCTGCCATCCATGGTCCGCTTTGGCTCAAAGAGTAGTCTCGCACTTCAAAGACCAGCTCCTCGAAGCATTGGACATCTCTGTCACCCGCAAAAAAGATTACGTAGTTTGCCATCCACCTCAGCAAACTTTCCATGCGCGCATCCGAGGTGGGATCGCTCAGGGCCAGCCATAGCCCAGTGCCACTAAAAGGGCTTTCCTTCTGGTACATGTACTCGTCCAAATCGGGCACGCCAAGAGGCCAGTCCATACCTGGGAGATTCAGTTTTAACATTCCAAACTATGTTGTAACATGTTTTAATTCAACATATCACGAGTACAGATCCATGAAAACAAGCCGCCCATGCGATCCGCATACTTGCTTTGCGCCATGGTGGTCACAGAAAGCAGCAGTGTTTTTTTAGTTGAACCGACTTGACCCAGAAAATGCCAACCTCGAACAAACGATCACCAAAAAGTCACCACGGAGTTCAAAAAACATCCTGCCGGAGGATCCAAAAGGAGCTGACAGCATCCTACACAAAGGAGCCATCAAGGCATCCTGCCCAAGAGGAGTTCAGTAGCTCCTGCATTTGAAAGGATTAAAAAACTTCATGCATTCTGATGGGACATGAACGAATTGACTTCATCCTTCCCTTGCGCAAATTTTTCTTCTTTTTTTGCAATCAGTTTCACTGCAATTGGTCAACATAATTTACCGGCGCTCATAGCCTACCAGCACGCTCCGTTGTGTTCGCTACATTCCCTCAGGGTTGCGGTGGCTAACTGCAGGCATTCAGTCAGCCAATCAAAGCTAAATGTCAGCTGCACGCCAATCTACAGCTTGCTCAATCCCAGCTGCCCACAAGAAAGAATCCAGTGAAGGTCAGGGGATTGGCCTTTTCACTTCCTTCAATTCTCTGCCCACGAAACAAGGTACTGTTTCACTTCCAGGCTGAAGTTGCCAGGGCCCTGTGCTGCTTCTGAGATCGTTCGATGAGGCTATGGTACCTGGCATGTGCGTGGAAGCATTCATCGCCTGCCCGACAGGACTGTGCGAGAGATAGCCAAAGTTTTCCTGCATTCTTGTTCGCAGTGGAAAACCAGTTCCTGGCAATGGCATCTGTAATAACCGTTAAGCAGCGGCGATTAATGTCTTCAACCGTCAGGATGTCAGCTGGGGATTTCACGAGTGCATCACGCACGTGAAACAAAAAAGGTCCCAGGCTCTGCACATGTCAGTGACGTGGGCCCATCCACACTTCGAAGAATCATTTCGCTTGTTTTTAAAGTCGGATTCAGATGCGCAAAAAATTCTGCAACTACCCACCTGAAGGCAAGACCCAAACAACCTCAACAAATGTAACATTAAAAGTAAGAAGGGTTGCAAACATGACTTGGCAACTTGGACACATGAGGAGCCACGAGGCATCCTGCAAAGAAGGAGCTTGAAGCATCCTGCATTGGAATGATAGGAGCATAAAGCATCCTGCAAAGAAGGAGCTCTGAGCATCCTGCCATGCACAAAGGAGCTTTGAGCATCCTGCGAATCAAGCAGCCCCTAGCCAAGACTGCTTCTGAACCTACTTGGAAGCTGTTTCTTTATTTTCGCCAGCCCTAACAGAGCCGAGCCTGCCACATTATGTAACTCTTGCCCCTGTAAAACTTTTTTGTTTTAACACTGAAAAGCACTAATTTGCCTTGGGAAAAAATGTGTGATCGTATGCAACATGTTCAAGGTCCACAAACAAATGACAATGAAACCAATAATTTTCTTAAAACATACAACTTTCTAGCCTACGCGGAAAAATATGAATGAAGGGCAGGAAGCACTTCTAAAAGCCGTTTTTGTGATGAATAAACATGCCCAAAAGCCGTTTTTGAGTACTCTTGAGCACTGAAGCATGCGAACGTAGCACCACTTCCTGCGAACTTCCCTTAACGTCCATTTCGTGCGAAAAGGTTGCGCGCGACGGATAAAAGTCGCAATTTTTCCTCAGTTTTCGACGTCCAACGTCCATTTCGTGCGTAAGGGTTGCGCGGGACACCTCAAAGTCGCAATTTTTCTTCAGTTTTTGACGTCCAACGTCCATTTCGTGCGAAAGGGTTGCGATTGACTAAGTAAAGTCGCAATTTTTCCCCAGTTTTTGACGTCCAACGTCCATTTCGTGCGAAAGGGTTGCGCGCGACGGATAAAAGTCGCAATTTTTCCCCAGTTTTTGACGTCCAACGTCCATTTCGTGCGAAAGGGTTGCGCGCGACGGATAAAAGTCGCAATTTTTCTTCAGTTTTTGACGTCCAACGTCCATTTCGTGCGTAAGGGTTGCGCGGGACACCTCAAAGTCGCAATTTTTCTTCAGTTTTTGACGTCCAACGTCCATTTCGTGCGAAAAGGTTGCCTTTCGTGGCGCTCCGGCGGCACCGCCCCCGCCTTAAGAGAGAATAGGAGAAGAGCGAGAGGAGATCTGCAGATGTGAGGGTGTGAAGATGTAGATCTGCAGATGTGAGGGTGTGAAGATCTAGATCTGCAGGTGTGAAGGTGTGAAGATCTAGATCTGCAGGTGTGAAGGTGTGAAGATCTAGATCTGCAGGTGTGAAGTGTGAAGATGTAAGATCTGCAGATTTCAGGGTTTCAGATTAGTTCAGCAGATGTAGGGTTGAGGATGTGAAGATCTAGATCTGCAGGTGTGAGGGTGTGAAGTTGTAGATCTGCAGATGTGAGGGTGTGAAGATGTAGATCTGCAGATGTGAGGGTGTGAAGATCTAGATCTGCAGATGTGACGGTGTGAAGATCTAGATCTGCAGGTGTGAAGGTGTGAAGATCTAGATCTGCAGGTGTGAAGGTGTGAAGATCTAGATCTGCAGGTGTGAGGGCGTGAAGATCTAGATCTGCAGGTGTGAAGGTGTGAAGATCTAGATCTGCAGGTGCGAGGGTGTGAAGATCTAGATCTGCAGGTGCGAGGGTGTGAAGATCTAGATCTGCAGAATGTCAGGGGTGTGACGAATGTAGATATCTGCAGATGTAAAGGTTGTGAAGATTCTAGATCTGCAGGTGTGAAGTGGGGAAGATGTTAAGAGCTGGCAGATGTGAAGGTGGAATGATCTAGATCTGCAGGTGTGAAGGTGTGAAGATCTAGATCTGCAGGTGTGAGGGTGTGAAGATCTAGATCTGCAGGTGTGAAGGTGTGAAGATGTAGATCTGCAGATGTCAGGGGGTGTGAAGATGTAGTATAACGGCTGTTTTTTACGAAGAACCCTTCGCAGGCGCTCTCGGGAAAAAGAAGGCAGCCAAAGCATTCTTCTGTTTGACAAGGGCGGCATGGTCCGCAGACGATGGACCACCACCACCACGTAAGCCAAGCACGAAATGAACCGTCAATCGGCGAACTCTACCATCTCCGATTTTGGCATACTGGGGAGGCCCGTATTTGCGTATCTAGTTTTTCTTATCTTTTTAGGGCCAAAATAGACCCTTCTCTGTGACAGGTAGAAGTAACAGCCGTCCAAACGACCACCTCTTGGACCCCTGAGCTGGCACAAGTGCACGTGACAGGCCCGGCATCCCCCCTTTCCCCCCGAAACAAAGATCAAAGTGCAAGCTTCTGCAAAGTGAGGACACTTTTGTGAAGCAGCTGGTTGTAGTTCGCAGAGTCTATGTGTGCAGGTGCTGCAAAGAATGATTATCTTACTTTTCCGAATCATTGTTTGGAGGGGGTGCGGGGTAACCTGCCCGAATTTGAGAAATCGTGGCGGATAAGGTTGCAGTCAAACCACTTCGGATGGAATAACAGCGTTGTCAATTTCTCTTATTTTGCGACTAAAAATAGATTGAGAAAAACCAGAGTGCAAAGGTGCAACTTTTTCAGGGTAGGAAACAGAACCTCTATAGTCTGTTTCCTACCCTGAAAAAGTTGCACCTTTGCACCCTTCAAAATTTGGCAATGTACAGGGGAAGTGTTTCCACATTTGCTGATCTTTCTGTTACTATAGAAGCAGCACCTTGCCTTGTCTAGAGGGTTCGCTTTTGGCACCTGAAATCGGCATACTTTTTGGAGACG